ATCTTTCGAGCAACGCGTAGATTCCAAGACGATAGAACGATTGGTCTTTTGATGCAATCCATTCGTCGATCCATTTTCGCACATCCTCGTAATTTCTGAAGTGTGTATCCACCAAGCCGTGCTGCATCGACCGGAACAAGTAATAGTCCGAAGGAGCTAAGTCTGGTGAATACGCTGGGTGCGGGAGAACTTCCCACTCGAGCTGCATCAGTGTTTCTTTGACGGCTTTGGCAACGTGTGGTCGAGCGTTGTCGTGCAAAAGCATGACTTTACGTCGATTGCTGGCTACTGCTGGCCTTTTTTCCAACAATGCTTCATTCAGACGGTTTAATTGTGATTGATATCGATCCCCCGTGATACTTTCGTTCGGTCTGAGTAGCTCATAATAAACGACGCCGTGCATATCCCACCAAATGCAAAGCATTGCTTTGTGGCCATGAATATTTCTCTTTGGTGTGGATGTCGATGGTTGGCCAGGGTCTACCCATGATTTTCTTCGTTTAGGATTATCGAAGTATATCCATTTTTCATCGCCAGTCACTATGCGCCACAAAAAACTCTTCTTTTTCTGCCTGGCGAGCAGAGAAATAGAGATGTTTAAGCGATTCGCAATGGCATTTGCGGTTAATTCGTGTGGTACCCATTTTCCCTCCTTTTGAATTTTTCCCATTGCATGTAGACGTTTGGAAACAGCCATCGGAGTAACATTTAATGCTGCAGACAATTCTTGGAGCGTTTGAGTAGAGTTTTCGTCCAATAATGCCTGCAAATCGGTGTCTTCAAACTTTTTCGGTTGGCCTGAGCGTTCTTTATCATTGACATCAAAATCACCACTCTTAAATCGCTGAAACCATACTTGGCATGTTCTTTCCGATGGAGCATAATTGCCATAAGCTTCGAAAAGCAATTTATGAGCTGCAGCTGCAGTTTTTTTCAAGTCAAAGTAATGAAGCAGCACATGTCGAAAAAACAACTTATCACGTTCCATATTTAATCAAAAGAAAAAATAGCACTGCTCGCTTAAATGAATCTCTTCGCACTGAATTTTATTGACAAATGTCTAACCTCTAAAATGCAGCCAGTTTCAGATGTCAAAATAAACTACACCTAAAACTAACGTCATCTAACTGTGAGCCACAGGAACTGAGTTTACCACCTAATACTAAGGCTGAATTATTAATGCCGCGAAATTGATTTGGTAAATTTGCATTCCTTTCGCTATAATTCCGCACAAACCTCTCTTTAATAAAACTTATCGAGCTATCTGTATCTTTAGGTTACATCGGCCCTCCGAATCATGAAGATGATAACTCAAATTTTCCAAAAAATTCGAATCGTTATCGAAAACACTGTTTATATTGTTTCTATCCGGGATTGAATCCGTTCCCCGACTATCTCTATTTCTACATTCTCTCGCTTTATGCCCTACCTGTGAATATGTAAAACACGCTCCCGCTTCGCATTTTGAGTATTTACATTGAGCGGCAATGTGTTCCATAGCATTATAACTGTAACATTTCGTCGGATTTCTATTCCCGGCATCATTTCTGACTCGCTTTGTGACTATCGCCTCCATTTCTGGCCGTCGATAGTTTCTCACCCTTACGTGAAGTTCGCGGGTCTACGCTTAGGCTGATGTCTTCCATCGCCCTCAGCATCATCTCTTTATTTGTGAACCGCTGCATCGTTGCATCTTGTCGGATTGACTGGACAGGGATTTCTCCAATTATATTGTCCATTATCTCTTCCTCATCAATTGGGACTCTGTTGGCCATGATAATCTTCTGATAAAAATATTCGGTGAATGTCTCGCCGGTTTGCCACGCTCGGCTCTCGAATTCTCTTCTCAGTAACAATCGTTTCTCTCTTTGACCAAACATTGTCTTCATCCGGCACAACAGCTGATCCACAGACACGGTCAGATGCTCCAGCACCAACCGAAACCATGCTGCAACATTGCCCGACAATCTCTATACTAGCAATAACTTCAGAGAATTATCGTTTAGTTGGTATAATTGCTGCACCAATCTCAGCTGTTCTTCCCACACGCGGTAGGACATCCTTTGACCGTCGAATTCCGGAAGCATATCCTTCAATGCTGTCACGTTAGTCACCCGCGCAAGTCGGTCGATCCTCAACGGTTCGGGGATCATCGAAGGTCGCTAGTATAGATAGTAGAATAAACACATTTCAATAATCAGGGTTAAGTAAGTTAACTTTTTTTTATCTAAGTTAAAGTTAATGGCTTTGAAAATTTAACTTAGTTAAGATAAAGTTAACTCATAACGAAATTAATTAAATTAAAAGTTTAGTTAATAAAAAAAATAATTAAAAAGTTAAAAGTTAAATTTGTTTCATTTCATGACTTCAGGGTTTCAGTTTTACAAATAATGGAAAAAACAAATATAGACCTTATTTGGAAACCTGTTTCATTTACAGATACTTATTAAATTTAAGTAATAAATTTTTTTAGAAATTTTTATCGGACATTTTTCCTCGAAGATTGTCGAAAATGAACCCTTCTACACTGAACAGCTTTTCGACGTTTCGCGACACCTTTATGGCATGGTTAATTGCAAGATAATCGAACTAAAAGTTAATAGTTACCGATAAAATGTAACTAAGTTAAAGGTTAACAGTGTAAAAATGTAACCAAGTTAAGTTATAAAGCTATTTAACTTTTTAACTAATTACTTTTTAACTCATGACGTACCATTTCTTATGCTGTTAGAAAAGAACTACCTAACCCTGTCAATAATCAATAAAAGAGATGATATTAATGTAAAGAGATGATATTAATGTTAAACTAAATTATGATATATTTCGATTTGAATATAAGATATACCACTACATATTAGGGCTTTGTTTCGATATTCACTATTAGTATTGAAAATCTATAGTATGTATACGTAACACAAGATTGTCAGATGTGGTGCAATTGCGCCAATGTGGCTCTTTGACTCAGGTAGAACAGATAGTCAAAATAATGTCAATCTGACATCATTTTGATCAAATTTACGTCATTTTTTGTTGAAAATGACGTCAGAATGATATTATGTTGACTATCTATTCTATCTGGGATTAGTCGATTATACTAAAATTGGCTGTGTTACGAATGTATTGCTAAACTCTACAGTTCATGTTATATATAATATAGATTTTCAGTATTGGGGCCTTATTCTGCAATCACTTACCGATCCGACAATTGTCGATAAGTGGTTACGGAATAGGGACCCTGGCATAAAACTTAAAACGCAGCCATTGTGTAAATACTCACTTAAAACAAAAAAGCACAATACTTTCAAAATGAATAAGGAACTATAATAACTCATTTTTTAATCATTATTATATCATTATTATCCTCACTTTGATGTCAAATAGAAGACATTTTGATATTATTGTGATTTTCTGTTTTAGTACACAATTTCACTTTAAAAACAAATATCCAGAGTGCATTCAGAAATGTCCTGGGAATGTCCTATGGACGTTTTGTGTCCTCATGATGTACCATTTCTTATGCTGTTAGAAAAGAATCACTATAAAATCATTCCAAAGTCAAGAATTCATCACATATTCATCAAAAAAACTACATTAAATGACATCATGATGATATTTTTTTAAATGATTTTCATGTGATGTCATAGTGATATTTTTATGAGTTTGTGTTCTACTTGGGCAGTCGCTTACACCTTTTGACTCTCCTTCGCCGTAACTCAGCTCGATCACAAAAGCCTAACACTTCTCGCTTTGTCCTCTATTTATATCTTTATATTTGGGAACCCGTTTTGGTTCGGTTAATCTCGGATAACGTTCGATTTTTTTTCTAATCGTCTCATGCTTTTGCCTCGTGATCGCTTACAAAGCTTCAATTCGTTGGCTCCTGGTCGATGTGTAAACGGGTCGATGTGCAATCGGGTCCTATTGCAACGCTATATGTCCGAACGCTACTGTGTGCAATTGGGTCCGTACGCAACCGGGTCGGTATACAAACGGATCCGTGTGCAATTGTGTCCGTGTCCTATTGCAACGCTATGTGTTTGAACGCTACAGTATGCAATTGAGTCCGTGTGAAAACAGATCATTGTGCAATCGGGTTGGGGTGCAAACGGATTAGTTTGCAATTGTATCGAATCTGTGTCATATTGCAAAGTTATGTGATCGATTATTATTGTGTCCGATCGCGCGCATGTGCAATCGGGTCCGTATGCATTTGGGTTCGTGTCTTATTGCAACGCTACGTAATCAATCATTATATTGTGTTCGATCGTGTCGGTGCGCAATCGGGACTGTGTCCAATTGGATCTGTGTCCAATTGGTATGCAATCGATACTGTCTCCAATCGGGTACTTGCCTGATCGGAACTATGTCCGATTGGGAAATACTGCTGTGTCCGATCGTTAATGCGTAATCGGACCTTACTCCATTCAACAGACGTAAAGATGTTTGAAATAAGATGTTTTTAAGACGCCCTTTGGAAATATCTTAAAGACATTTTTTTCAGACATCTTTTGATAACGTCTTAGAAACATTTAAAATAAGACGTCTTTTAGACAATTTTTGGTAATGTCATAAAGACGTCTTACATAAGACGTCTTTAAAACGTCTTTTAGACATGCGTGTTGTGTGGGTTATTTATTACTTATTTATCGACTATTAGGCAGCGTCCCAGATGCACACATTGACAAACGGACACAGTCAACCACAACGCCGTATGCTTAGAGATATTCTAGAGACTCTATAAACGACATATGATTGGATGTGTCTGTTTGTCAATATGCGCATTTGGGACTCACTCGACTATTATTTATTTATTTGTTTTCTTTTAAATCCTCATATACCTAAATATTTTGATATCCACGCAAGAATGCCGAAAACAAATAAAATACCGACTACTAGACATTTTCCTCTAATTAATTAAGCATATTTTATATTTTATATTTTATATTAAGCAGATTTTCGCTGTCGCCAATGTTTCCTCAATTGACATTCTTCTTTTTTAGGCATACGAGTCCTTTCTTTACGCTGGTTTGATGCTAGTGGATATGATAATCTTCAGCGTGATGTCTCTGTTCTACAAATATGTGAAGATACCGGACGAGGAAGACAATAACGATGATATAGCATTGGAAAGAAAAAACGGGAATATTAATATCGCCTACAATGAAGACGAGAAGTGACAACGACGAGGAAGGTGTCGTAATTCTTTCTGTGTTCCTCGCTTACTCTCGAACAATCAAATGAAGACTATCGTTCGTACATCGAGAGTTGGCACATTACTATCGAAAATTTAGTACGCTTAAAAATATGGCGAGAACAGTTCTTAAGGCTCTTGATCCCTCGCATTGTCTACTTATTTTTAATGACGTTAGAAACGAGAAAATGCATGCAACATACGTTGAAATAAAAATATATATCCATAAAGTAACACTTGAAATCGATTAAACAAATTTGTAAAATATTCCGTGCACTCCCCTTTTGCTTTAACAATCAATAATTTGTTGTAAATTAACGTGGCATATAATTTATTTTCTTAACCTATTTCACAGATTTATTTAATCGATTGCAAATGTCACTTTATTGATATATCTTTTTATTTCAACGTATTTCGCAAAAATTTGTAACATACATTTTCTCGCTTCTGACGTCATTAAAAAGAGACAGACAGTGCAAGGGGCCAGGAACCTTAACGTATAAATTCATTTAATCGAAATTTTATAACAAATTTGTAATAAACTAAGATCGCATTTTTCATTAAATTAGGTAACGACGAGAATGATCGATAACGATCTTTTCAAAGATATTTGTCTCTGTTCTGAAATTTCTTTTATCGCTAAAAGCGCTTTTAAAAGTGACTAGTTAGCTTCCTGATTGACTATAAGCCGCTTTTAGAAATGTTTTTAGCGATAAGTGAGAGTATAAAAGAGCTAATATAATTTCATAAAACATGAGAAATAAAAATTTACCTTATATATATTTCAAAAAGATATTTAAAATTTTAGGACTTACGAATCTAATACCTGTTTCTGATTTAATCCCTATAGGATTAAAATAAAACCAACATCACATAAATGTCGATAATAAAATAATGTCTAAATTGTTCGATAATAATTATGAGAATAATAAAGATTAAAAAATTAATAAATTAACTTACCGGAACGTTGTAAATGAAATTTGAGCTTCTGATTTTTCGCTACTATTATCTTTATCGATAATGCTAAAGAAACAAGGAAAATACATGCTTAAAATTTTCGCAAAATACGTTAAAATAGAGATATATAAATTAACATTTGTGTGTAATCGATTGTGAACAAATTTGTAAGATAGTTGGAAAAATTTTTCTTTACTCCAATACCCAATAAATATCTACAAAAATAATGTGATAACATAATTAAAAATCACGTTAATTTTATGCTTAATTTGAAAGCTCTCGAGTACTCCCTTTATAGAAATATCATACTAAGAATCATTGATAATTACTTATTATCCAGTATTTTTAATACTGAAAATAAGTAATTATCAATGATTCTTAGTATGATATTTCTATAAGGGGATCCCCAGACAACATAATGTCTAAAATCGGGACATAAGACGTCTTAAGGTAGTTTGGTAAAAAAACAGTGAAATCCCAGATCTTCTTGAAACTTGTAGCAAAATTAATTTAGGTATTAATACATATGTATGTTAAATACCCTTATAGAAATATCATACTAAAAATCATTGATAATTACTTATTTTCAGTATTAAAAATACTGGATAATAAGTAATTATCAATGATTCTTAGTATGATATTTCTATAAGGGTATGGGTTCGATTAACCGTATAGTTTCCGAGAAATTACCGCTTATAGTTTACTCTTTTTCTCGATATCTTACATGGCGCTGACGTATAAAAAGTAACATGTAAACGCGCATTTGTCAGCTGCAAATGACCTACGATAGGAAACCTACGAAGGATTAATACGAAAATTTGGGCAAAATTAATTGAATATTTACAGAAGTACATACTTTAGTCTCAGTGAAATTGATCGTACGTTATTAGAGTATAATTAATCAGCAAAAATAAGTATGGCTTTTGCTTTTTCGTTCGCGACCATGTTTTGCGGATGTGGCAACGTTGTATAGCCTGGCGTCGCATAGCGCTAATAGAGATGCGACGTTGCCACGATCTATAGTTCCGCGACTACAACGCAATTCAGCATACTGTTTCTTTTTTTATTATTTCATTTATTTTATCGATTTTTACTATTCTGAAAGAATGTATAAAATAATGTTTAAAAATCTGTTTTTCATTTTTACTTAAA